AGTAATAATGAACATTCCAATTCCAGGAGAGGAAAGATAGATCATAGATGCCAGAACAATGTACCTCTCATTGCGATTAAGTCGAGCCCCAAAGTAGAAAGGCACCGAGAGCAACAAACAATCACTATGCACAGCAACCAACAATCACTATGCACAGCAACCAATGAAACCCAGTCTTTACGGTTCATTCCACCTCTTGCAAAATTAATACCCAAGGCTGGCTCAGGGAGCTCCGGCGGAACTTCTTCTGCTGGAAAAGCTACCTCCCAAGCCTCATTTGGGTGTCCATAAAAACACAAATTCTCCTTATCTAAGAAGCAAAAAAAAAAAAAATGCTTCAATATAATAAATTTAACGGCTATTATCTGAAATTAATGGCTTTTGTTTCTAGAAAATATAAATTATTTTTTATTTTTATTTTCTTAAAATAGAAAATGTGTTTGGTTGTAAAATTATAAAATAATTTATGAAAATTGAAAACAATTATAAGTGAAAATATAAAAAAATGTTTTCAATCTTTTCATTAAAATTGTTTTATAAATATCTAAAATTTTAAATTAACTTGCATAAATTCAAAGTCTTTTAACAATAACTTTTTGATTTAATGGTACGTGAAACTACGGATGGGCATAGGTCGGGTTTAGGTCAACCCGATCTTATCCAAAAATTTTACATTATTCACTCGATCTGATCTGAAAAATATATACCCTCCACCAGACTCGAATCCGACTTTATTTTTGAGATAAAATATGAACCCGATCCGACCCAAAATAATAAAAATATTATTTTTATTAAATAAAAATAGTGATTTAATTAAAAATAATATATAGAGGGTATTATTATAATTATTCCTAAATATGTAAGGTAAAATTATATTTTTTGGATCGGGTCAGATATTTTCACCCTAAACCCAAATCTGACCCAACCCGAACATCACCTTTAAAAATCTGACCCGATCAGACCCGAATCCAATTTTTTTTTAAAATTAACCCGATCGAGTTGGATTCGGGTCTCATGCCCATCCCTATGTGAAACCCTCAAACATTTGAAAAAAATTAATATGTTCCCTTAATTTTTTTACACTCAATTTGATTATTAAATTAAAATTTTTAATAATTTTTTTTATTTTTATATTTAATACATTAAATATCTTACTAATTGTTTATATTTTATATTTTAAATATAAATATTTTTTATTTTTTCTAAATTTTATTAAGTCTTTAAAGAATTAATTACACTCTCAAACTTAACCAAAAAATCAATTAAGCTAATCTACCACATTATCGTCCATCATGTATTACCATAACAGTATCGTGAACTTTCATATTAATATTGTTAATTGTCATATAAATTTTATAAATAGTTATGTAAGCATCGTGACGATCAACGTTTGATTCCGTTAGTCAAAAGGTTATATTGATTTTTATCTCAGTTTAATAGTCACCTTGAATAAGGGTGTTTAAATCCGGGTACCCGGATCCTCGGGTCATTTTAACTATTTTTATTTTTGAATTCAAGTTTTATTTATATTAACCAAACATTTTTTTACTTTTAAAAAATTTAAAATGAAAAATATTTTTAAAAAATTAAAATAAAATACAAAAATACTTTTTTAGAATCCAAATTTTTTGAATTAAAAAAAATAAAATAATTAAAATATAAAAGCAACTCTATAACTTACGCATAATATAAAAATTAAAAATAGAATTTATAGAATATATTAGCACGAACCAAATGACGTCCGTAGTGAATGAATTGTTGTTATTCTTTGAAGACCCAGGTTCGAGCACTATAGATGCCAAGGATGTGAGTGTTCAATGTCAAAAGACTAATCTTTGAATAAATATTATCTTGTATTTAGCCCAGATTAATAAAAAAAAGTTTTAGAATATATTAATATGTTAATTATTTTAGTTAAAATATTAATTTGAAATTTTCATATAAATAATAATTTCAATAAAAAAAAGGTTATTATGTTGAATATCCACCTCAACATTTTAACCGTAATAACAACACCAATTATGTGAATTAATTAATAATTTATAAAATACAAATTACGTCATATTTAAATTTAAGCACTATATAAATTTGAGCATAACAAAGGAAAATCAAACTTTAACTTGTTTTACACAAAAATGTGTTCCTGATGTTTAGATTAAAAAAGAGTCACAAAAGGACAATAGAAAAAGAAATTAAGATTTGCTATTTTTTTTATAAGAAGAAGTTTTAACACTATATAGACCCAAATTAATATTTTAAGTTAATCTCTTAAAATTTTATAATTTTTATCACATTTTCAAGTGCATCACAAGCTTACCGTCTTTTAATATTATATTAAGTTGCCGCATACTAAAATTATCTTATATATATTGGGTACATTGAGTAAAAACTCCTTCAGCGGAGCATAAAATCTGAGCGTTCCCTCTCCTCTGGCATCAGCTATAAGCAAGGGATTAGTTCTGTAGGTGGACTCATCAAAATGTTGATCTCTTCTTCCCGCTCTCTAGCTATGTTCGCCAGGCGATCGACACACTTTTTTTTTTGCCCAAATGTGCTTGTGTTGTTCATCCAACCTTCCATTCGGATAGTCTCACAGTTCTTCAGCAGCGTACCTCCTGGATTGTCATCAAAGAGTTAATATAGATCAAAAGATTTCATATGATAGCTGGGTGATAGGCTAAAAACTATAATTATTAAATTAAATCGGGAAAAAAAACACAGCAGTCTTTCATGGAAATTAATTGGGCCTTATTTGGTCTAGGTCAAAAGAAAACGCAGACAAGTAATCAAACTGGGAAAACAATTTAGTGGTTGAGATTTGACCAACAAAAGTAAAGTAGACAAATTAGATTAATACTTTCATTCTAACAAGAAAAAGCTCGTCAATTAGTTGATAAAAGTTCATGCATTTAATTCTAGCGTACATAAATATTAAAAAAAAGCATTGGAGGAATAAAACCCAGTGGATACATAAAGAAAAAGTATCATGTAAATACAAGGAAAATTATCACGTGCAACCAATGTTTTTAAAAACGGATCGAATATTGAACCGGTGAAGGTACTAGTTCACTGGTTTATTAGTTTAATCGGGTTCAATCACGGTTGAACCAGATTTTATATAAAATAATATTTTTTTAATTTTACATAATATTCAAAGCAATATTAATATATATGTAACACTTTTTTTAAGTTTACAATATTAAAAGATATAAAAATACCACAAGTCATAACATATATAAGTTAAAAACTATAAAATCAAGTGAAACAAAATGATTCAAATCAATTACAACATAATATTTAAGGTAAAACATATTAAATAATAAATATAATTATATAACTATAATCAAAAAGAATAAAATTGGAGCTTAAAAAATCATAATAAATTATGTTATTTTGTTTAATTTTTTTTTTAAAATAATCTCACATGGCTAAAAAACATACAAAAGCATCCCAAAAGTTTAAAGAGTAAAAATATGAGATCAAAACAATCTCACATGCTAAAAAACATAGAAGAGCATCACAACTTAGTTCTATAAATAATAGAGGTAATTTGACATTCAAAATCATTGAGTCTTTTGGTGAGCACAAAGAATTATTCTTTAGCTTCAATTGAGCTCAAATTTTAAGCTTCAATCGAACTTCTAATTTTTTTTGAGTTCGAGCCTTTTCGAGTTCAAGTTTTAATATTATATTTCGAGTTCGAGTTGAACTTGATAATTTTTAGCTCGTGAATTTTTTAGTCGAGTTGAGCTTACTTTTCGAGTCGAGCTCAGCAATACTCGAATTTGACTTGGCTAGTTGAACAAACGACGTCGTTTGGTTTAATTTTTTTAAAGAAAAAAAGTGAATCGGCGGTTCAAACCGGTTTTGCTGATTTTCAGTCGGTTCACCCCTGTTTTACTGGTTTTCAGCCGGTTCATTGCCAGCCCATTTTTGTGAGGTAACCGGACCGGATAGGCCACCGATTCACGGTTCAACCGGTTGAACCGGCTGGTCCGGTTTTGATAATCATGCGTGCAACAGTTTTAATATACAGTTAAAGAAATATACTATTAGTTTTATTATTATTTTTTAATAAAATCGATAAAAAAAATTACTGAAAACATTATTATTTATATCTATTTTGTTATAATTAGGCGTTTTACCGATTTTGTTAACATATATTGTAAAATACTATCGATTTTGTTATTTTTTCTATTAATTTTTTACTATTAGGGATTTTACCAAAAATATTAAAAAACATTAATATTTTAGATAAAAATAATAATATTTTAATTAAAAAATTATCAATTATATTAAATAAATAATAATAAAATTACTTTCTTTAATCGTATATTAAAACTACAGTATATGTTGGGCAGGGGACAGTAGATTTCTGCTCTGATAGTAATAGCCATGGTTGTCTTTTCAGATTGGCTGATTCCATCTAAATCCAAAGAGATTTCCCACCTATTATATATTATTCACTTTTATTGTCTTCTTCTTCTTCTTCATGTCCTTTACACCATCACCGTTCTCTTCTAGCGCGTGCAACCACTCGCAGTTCAATTATCGTGAATAGTGCACCAATCAATTTGTGAATTATCATCAAAGTGTTGATATAGTTGTATAATGTAGTCGCGTGTTATTACATTTGTTTTCGTTTAATAAGTTCCAAATTGACAGAACGAACTTTTTTAGATAAGATCAATAATACAAACTAAAAAAATCAAGATTGATTATCATTAAACAACATATGTATTATTGTTAGATAAATTTAAAAAAAATTAATTTAAAAATTAAACTCATGTTTAATTTGACTTAATTATAAAATTCTTATCACTTAATCTATAATTATTAGATAGATTTTAAAATATTTTCTCTAGCATGATAAATAATAAATTTTAATAATCACTCTCTTTTTTTTTACATAAATTATAGAAATGCTGAGTTTTTATTTTTTAACGTCCTATTTATACATAACCGTATATTTTGGGTCCAAAGTGATTAAATCAGCCATCACTCGCCGTGAACCAGCTCACTTTCTTTCATTTTTTTCTCTCCAGACTTTCTTCTCGGTGCTACTACTCTGATAAAACTGCTTATCTAAGAGAGAAGGGGAGAAAAATCTCTTGACCAAAGGAGAGATGAAGATTTTATCCGTTAAGTGATAATCATATCTTATGAACCGTTCCGATTCGTGCTAAAACCCCGTGCCTATCTTAGATTAATCGTACGGGTTTCGATGGCTGAGTTGACTCAGACCGAGGTGTACTCGCCTCGGTCGTTGCAAGTATGGAGAGCTCTTTTGAACTGGCTGACCTTTTTCTATCAGATCTTTGCGCAGATCATCACAGCGGTTGGTCAGTATCCTTTGCTTTCTTCCTCGTCTTCTTCGTCGACGACTTCGACTTCAACGCACCATTTCAAGCCATTGCCTGTTGTTGACTCGACTGCAATTGAGTCGCCCGCTACGGTCGAGATCGCTGCCGTTTTGGACTCACCTGTTCCAGCTGATGAGGCCCACGTCAAAAAATTAACGGTAGTTTTTTTTAAAAATACCGTTTTCCCTGTATTATGATCTATAATTTGTTTTAGAATAGATGCACTAATAATTTGAAGTTTTCCTTAGAAACAATTGCTCTGTAGTAAAAAATATATTTTAATTTTGTTAGAAAAGTAGTTAGTTTTGTTGAACTTAATTTGCTTCAAAATAAGCTTCGTTAACTTCTTTGAAGAAGTAGTAAGTATTTCATAAAGACATTAAAGCATTGTTATGGACGTGGACTAATAGTTCTAATTAACTTAATTCAATTGAAGAATGAAAAAAATAAATAGGGAACTTAAGCAATTAATTTATTGGGTTATCAGCATTACTTTGGGAGATGTAGACATGTAGGAAACAGAAAAGCAGACTGCAGTTAACTTGAGACAATTCAGTTGGAAGCAGGGTTTCAAAAAATGTTCTGCGACCGCGATTTCGTCTGTGATATAGCGGTTTCGCCGCCGTCCGAGTTACCTGCTACACTCGTAATAGCGCCCGCGACGGCCGCAATCACGGTAAATCCGAAATGACCGAAAACATAACCGCGATTTGAAACTCTGGTTGGAAGTTAATTCATTTTTTGTTATAAAGGTGCCAACTTTCAATCTTTCATTACTTTAAGGTAAGGTTTGAAAACAGGTGAAACTGTAAAACAAAATGAATATGGCGTGTCGTGAATATTTTGATTGATTGTTTGGTGTATTATTGTTGTGGAGTTCTATCTAGGTCTGATTCATGCCCTTGCAGGTAGTTCTTGACTTGGATGAAACTCTAGTATGTGCATATGAGACATCTAGTCTGCCACCTTCCCTTCGTAACCAAGCAACGGATGCTGGATTGAAGTGGTTCGAGTTGGAATGTGTATCTTCGGACAAGGTTTGCAATGAATAATAATTGATTCTCTACTTTAAATGATAGTAGTTCTCATGTGGGTGTTCTGGTCTTTATAGGAATGTGAAGGGAAGCCTAAGATCAACTATGTTACAGTGTTTGAGCGCCCAGGGTTGCAGGATTTTCTAAACCAACTAAGTGAATTTGCTGAGCTTGTACTATTTACTGCTGGCCTTGAAGGTTTGCTCATAATTGTACATTGTTTTATTTTGAACTTATTTCACAGTTTTCTTATATTTCTTCCTTTTTCTGCCCTCTTTCCTGCATTATCTCATGACTTCTAATGGTTTCCCACAGGCTATGCTAGACCACTTGTTGACAGAATTGATGTAGAAAATCGATTTAGTCTTCGACTTTATAGACCTTCTACTATTAGTACGTAAGTATGCTTCCCCCACATGTACCTTTCGTAATTTCTGGCCTATTATTTCTAGTGTAGACTAAAATCAATGAAACGTTTTCATCTTTTGCATTGCACATTTCCTGCCTTTGGAATTAAACTGATACTGGTTCTTTATATTTCATTGCCTATTATATGCTTTCTCGTATACCCTATCCTATGTTAAATGGACCTTAGTCATGATATACAGGGGGGGACTTCTCTTCCCAGGGATGTTCATGTATAAGGGCCAAAACCTGCACGTATAAATTCCTTCCCGTTTTTCCCTGCTATCTTTTTGTAAGATGACTTCAAATTTTAGGCAACATGAATCTCCAAAAGGAAATGTTTTGGAGTTTTGCTTAGATTTTATGAGTTCATTTTAAGATTTTGCGAAGTTGTGTTAATGACTTGATCTTCTAAGTTCTGTTTGATAAAGTTTAGGAAAGCATTGTTGAGTAGTTTAATTTCATATCTAAGATATAAGGATATATTGTTTAGTTTAGGTGTCCAAAAACTCCTAAAATGCTTTATGCCAAGCTTTGACGTTTTAGAGTGAATTTGTGCTTCCTTTATGTTGGATGCATATGCATACACCTTACAACTTGTACCCTCGTGATTCCATGCGTCCCCTTCTCTGCAATCAGTAAATGGGATTCCATGCGTCCCCTTTTCTGCAGGGCAGCCACATGATACACAGGTACCATCGTGATTTGCCTTAAAGCTAAATCTGTTAACTGCATGCAATACCAATTTCTATAGATATGAGATTGCTGTTTACTTACAACTTGTACATTTGGTTTTATATTGAGAAGCTTGTAGATGTCATTCTTCCACTTCTCAAGCACCTTTCTCAGCAAAAAGATGTGAGACCAGTTCTTTACGACAGGTTCCACATGCCTGAATGGTTTCAGAAGCAGGGTATCCCCGCTTCTGGCTGGTCAATGTAGGAAAAAGATCATAGAGGATGCCTTCAATTCTTCTTGCTACTTTCAGTGCAAACCTCTATCATCCACAGGCAGCATCTTGTTATATTATTCGTGACCTTCGTACTGCATCCGAATTCTAGGGGTGCCGACGAATGCCACCAGAGACATGGAAAGCGATGAATGTGATGATATCGCTTATTCGATTGGGTAAAACTTTTATGTAGATGAAGGTATGCAAAAAACTCCTGATTCTCTGTGTAACGTTGTTTATAAGCTTTACGATTCTGTTGGGTGTTTATGAATCTTTCTGAATTTTGTAAATTTGTTCTCAAATCAATGATTATTCGTAGTTTACACATCATTTACCATGTTGATTTCTATACTGCTTCCTACAAAATATGCGAGGGGTGCGAAACTATTATAGCTGATACTAAAATTATATAAACTCAAGTTCGTCTCTTGAAATTTTTTAAGTTCAAGTTTGTCTCCTCCTAACTTAAAATCCTGTTCCGTCCTTACCCAAGATGCCTAAAGAAAATATTTTTTTATGAATGACGTCATTCAATAAGCTCCCAAAGTAAGATCGAAGACTATCATTGATCACTTATGGTTATGTTTTGACAATTTTTCGTCACTAATTTCAAAAAACATAATATATGGTTCACTTTCATTTTTATTTAATTAAGATGTAATCATCACGAGTTAACTATCGTTAACAGTTAACAGATTAGGTGATGTGGCAGTTAAAGATTTTGGTATAATCACACATTTGATTTTTATTATTTACATATTCTATCAATTTAGTTTTACTTTGAATAAATTAAAATAAATTTAATCCTCCAATCGAATAATTCCATGTGTCATTAGTGTCTCGTGTCGTGCCATGTATCACCATTAGATTAACTTTATTTTAATTTAATATATTTTTAAATTAAAATAAAAAATAAAATATTTTTTAAATTAATTTATTAATAAAATATATTTAATAAGATAATATAATTTTTTTTAAAGATAATATATATATATATATATATATAATATTATGAATTTAAGTTAAATATTTATACACTAAAATACAAAATATATACATCATGTTGTATTTTTTACACATGGCATTATTCGATTTAAGGATTAAATTTATTTTAATTTATAAAAAATAAGACTAAATTGAGAGAATATGCAAATAACATGGACCAAATATGTGATTATACCAAAATATTTAGCTGTCACATCACCTAATTTGTTAACTATTAACGACAGTTAACCCATGGTGATCACATCTTAATTAAATAAAAACAAAAATAGTCATATCTTAACTAAATAAAAACCAAAGTGACCATATATTATATTTTTTAAAATAAGTGACAAAAAAATGAATAAAACACATATATATAAGTGATTAATTATATAATTAATCCTTTTGTTAAATAATAATTTGATTACTAAAGTAGAAAAGAGATAATAAGTTAATGATAATGGTATAGTTTATTCTTAATAAGAAATATAAAGTACGAGTCATGTCAGACTTTTAGTTGTTTTGAACTTGAATTGAGTATTATACCTCATTATCCAACAACTTTAGATTTAAAAAAGATTTATTTTGATTTGATTTTTAAGATAAAATTTGTTCAAGAAATAACATAAACTTATATATTAAATTTTTTATTTTTATTTGATAGAATAAAGATTTAATTGAAATATATATATAAGATATTATCGTAGTTATACCTACATACATTAGATTAATTGTAGTATTCTTTTGGGTTAGAGATTTTTCATAAAAATTTATTCTACCGGTGTGACTCAGAATCCGTCTGAGTCCGAGTCTTAAGTACTTTACCCATACAAATATCCGTATGTTCACAAACACGGCCGCTTAAACGCTCTAAAAACCTGGAAGTCCCACATTTTCAAACTATTTCCTTTCTTCTCTCTTGCCAAATGAAGCTGACGGACGGAAACGCTCCCTTTTCCGCCGTCAAGTTCGACTGTTTTAAAGGACGAAACCATACTTCCTTTTTCTTTCCGCCGTTGGTTTCTATATCGTTATCTCATTCTCTCCGTTGATTCATGCTCTGGGTTCTGGCTTAACGTTCGCCATCGCCTACGCCACCGCCACTGTATGCGCCATCGTAGCCGCCGAGCCGGCCCAACGCATTATCTGCTACCGCGCTGGCGACGCTTCCTCCTTCGTTGTCTCCATCCTCCCTAACGTCTCTTACTTTACCCTCGCCGGTGGTGAAACAAGTTGTTAAAAAGTAATATAAGAGCTGTGGAAAAATTAATCTTCATTTCTCAACTCACAAATTACAATCTGTTTACATATATATATATATATGTGAACCTTTTCAATCTAACTGCCTAACTAACTTAAAACTACTTGTAACAAACTATTAACAGAAAAAACTGATTACAAACTCAACACTCCCCCTCAAGTTGGATGTTGAAAAACATTTTCAACTCTTAACTTGGATAGTAGATAACCATGTTGCTGACTTCCCAAGGCCTTGGTCATGATGTCTGCAAGCTGTTCATGTGTTGAAATATGTTCCGTTTGAATCATTCCTTCATGTATCTTTTCTCTCACAAAATGGCAATCAATTTCAATGTGCTTTGTCCTTTCATGATACACTGGATTAGCTGCTATTTGAAGTGCAGCTCTATTGTCACAGTAAAGTTTTGCAGGCTTCAGACCCTTTATGCTAAGCTCTGTAAGCAAACCTTGCAACCAAACCAACTCAGAAGTGACCACTGCCATAGCTCTATATTCTGCTTCTGCCGAAGACCTTGCTACAACATTTTGTTTCTTTGATTTCCACGAAACCAATGAATCACCAATCTTAATGCAAAAACATGTTACAGATTTTCTTGTCATCGGACATGATCCCCAATCTGAATCACAATAGGCTGAAAGTTGACAAATCGAAGAGGATTTTAACAAGATTCCTTGTCCTGGTTCCTTCTTGACATATTTAACTACTCTTAAAGTTGCCTCCATATGAGACCTCTTAGGTTGATGCATGAATTGACTAAGAAGATTCACTGCATATGTAATATCAGGTCTTGTATATGTCAAGTAAATCAGCCTCCCAATAAGTCTTTGATAAACTGACTTTTCAACAAGATTATGTTCATCTTCATTATCCTGCTGCACAATCTTATCATAGTCCAAAGTAGTCAACTTCAGATTCTGCTCCAGAGGAGTAATAGTAGGCTTTGCTTCCTCCAAACCAGTATCTTTGATTAACTGTAGTGCATACTTTCTTTGATTCAAAAGTATGCCTTCTTTTGACCTCAATACCTCTATTCCTAAGAAATATTTTAACTCCCCCAAATCCTTCATCTTAAAATGACTATTCAACATTTGCTTCAATTCATCAATCAATTCACTACTATCACATGTGATTACCAAATCATCAACATAGACTAATAACAAGGCCATTTTACCTTGTTGTCTCTTGATGAACAATGAGTAGTCATACTTGCTTTGAACATAACCAGTCGAGACCAATGCCTCTGTTAATTTCAGATTCCATTGCCTGGAAGCTTGCTTGAGACCATACAATGATTTTTGCAGTCTACACACAATCCTCTCCCCCTGACTGCAAAAACCCTCAGGTAGTTGCATATAAATTTCCTCAGAAAGATCTCCTTGCAGAAAAGCATTGAATACATCCATTTGCAATAATGGCAAATGAAGAATAGAAGCAAGTGCTAAAATGGTTCGAATAGTTACCATCTTAACCACAGGAGAAAATGTGTCAACAAAATCAATTCCCTCCTGTTGATTATAGCCTTTAGCAACCAAGCGAGCTTTATATCTCTCAACCTCACCTGATGCTTTGTACTTACATCCAATAGGAATTTTTCCTGGTGGTAATGGAACAATGTACCAAGTTCTATTAGACTCCAATGCATGTATTTCTTCTTTCATAGCTTGAATCCAAAGTGGATCTTGAACAACCTCAGAATAAGATTGAGGCTCAGAAATTTGAGATATGGAAGACAAGCATATTTGAGTGTGAATTGGTAAGTGAGAATAAGAAAGAGAACTGAAATTTGAAGAAGAGGATTGACAAGAGCAAACAAAGTTATTTAACCAAGTAGGAGGCTTTGATACTCTAGAGGATTTCCTAGAGGGAATAGGTGCACTTAGTGAAGCAGAAGACTGAACTGAAGTCTGAGAGGTGTGTTCATCATTATCGGTACTCAATGCAGTAGGAGTAGTATGAAGAGAGCTAGAATGTTGAGGACTTGGAGTATTTAAAACTAGGAAATCATCATCATGAACAAGGGTAGTAGATGGGAAAAAGGTTGGATCAGAATTATAAAAGGAAGAAGATTGATGAAATGGAAACTGATTTTCATGGAACTTTACATCCCTACTGATGAATAGTTTTTTAGAGTCAAGATTAAACAGCAAATAACCTTTTTGGGTTGGAGAGTATCCCAAAAAGACAAAAACAAAGGCTCGAACATCAAACTTATCATGAGGAGCAAGATTTGTTGCAAAACAGAGACACCCAAAAACTCTAAAGTGTTCATAAGAAGGAGGTTTATGATATAGTAATTCAAAAGGAGTTTTCCAACATAAGACTGAAGAAGGCAACCTATTGATAATATAGCAAGCAGCTAACACACATTCTCCCCAGAATTTAAAAGGGACCCGAGATTGAAAACGAAGAGCCTGAGCAATTTCTAAA